GGCAGAGCTCAGCGGTGGGAGTGGTCTGGGTCTGACATCACGGGCAGAGCTCAGCCGTGGGTGTGGTCTGGGTCTGACATCACAGGGAGAGCTCAGCGGTGGGTGTGGTCTGGGTCTGGCATCACGGGGAGAGCCCAGCGGTGGGAGTGGTCTGGGTCTGGCATCACAGGGAGAGCTCAGTGGTGGGTGTGGTCTGGGTCTGGCATTACCGGGAGAGCCCAGCAGTGGGTGTAGCGAGCAGAGGCACAGCCATACCTGGTGGATCTCGTGCCAGCCATTCTCGTCCTTGCAGCACACGGAGGCATGCTCATGGAGAAGGAGCTCGCAGCAGTAAGGGTCGCCCCCCACAATGGCTGTGTGATACAGCGGCGTGAGCCCATAGCTGTCCTTGTAATCCGGGGAGGCGCCCAGCTCCAGGAGGGTCTAGGTAAAGAATGGAAAGTTGTCACTGGTCTCCTCCATGGAATGAATTGAAGACACAGTAGGATGGAAGACACAGCTTTCCCACGGGCCAAGCTGGGTCGTGCCCGGACGCCTGATGCTCCCCCTGACACAAAACTGGAGAGTGACAGGCGATGTTCTAACTGCCACCTGGAAGTGACAGGCGATGTTCATGGATGCAGGAATGGCCTGCACCCAGAGGAGAGACAGTCGGCAACTGCGGCTCCTCGACAGGTTCCTGCCGGTGCCTAGAACCCTGTATCCCGGAAGACAGCTGTGGACAGCCATCAAGGCTGCACTTGCTAAAGAGAGTCGCAGTATCTGAAGTAACACACAGCACAGCGGGATCGCAGTGAGTCGAGGGGTAGTGAGCCTCTGGAGTGGGTCAGGAAAGATGTGGTCTTCCCAGAAGTCTGTAGGAAGGTACGGCCGAGGTGAAGTGGGGAGGGCAGAAATGAGAAGAAAGCCCCCATCTCAGACCAACCTGCAGCCAGAGGGCCCGGCCTCCTCATGGGGCTCGGGTGGAGAGCAGGCTGGGAGCCACATTCTCTCTGGACAGGGCTGCGCACACTGCCAGGCAGGGCCAGGAGCAAAGACGTGGGGGGAAGGAGGATGTGGAACTAAGGAAGAAAGGAAGATGGGGTGGATGCTGCATGGCCAGGCTGAAAAGTGGTGTGGGGAAGACGGGTGTGGGGAAGAGAGGAAAGATGGACCTGAGGAGACGGGCGTGGGAAGACGGGCGTGGGAAGATGGGCATGGGAAAAAAGGTTGGGAAGATGGCAGTGGGGAAGAAGGGCATGGAGGGAGATGGGCCTGGAAAGGTAGCCATGGGAAAAGAGGGTGGGGAGGCAGTCATGAGGAAGATGGGTGTAGAGCATATGCCACATGGAAGTTCAGGAGAAGACACGAGTGGGCACAGCTGCCTGGCTCCCAGAGATGCAACGCAGGGGGCATCGAGGCTGTCCGCACTAATGGAGTTGAGGCTCCTCTGAGGGACAACAACAAGGCTTAGCACCAACTCATTTGTTGGAAACACAAGCCTTTCTGTGGAGCAGAGGGGACAAGGTGGCTTACGGCACTGGGTTCTAGAAGCATCTATACCACAGAGGGGGCAGGAGAGCCTGACACTGAACTGCCCTTCTGAGACACAGTGGGGGCAGGATTCATGGTTCCCTGGGGAGGAAGCCATTGTGAGGACAGCTCAGGGGACCAGATGAAGGACCCACCTTCAGGGCAAGCTGGTTCCTCGTCCGGGCAGCCTTGTGAAGGGCGGTCATGCCATCCCTGGCACGGAAGTCCAGATGTGCACCCCCATTTCTGAGAGCTTTGATGACCTCCATGGAGTCACTGAGCTGGGCAGCCAGGGTCAGGGGCGTCTCTGAGGAAACCAAACACAAAGGCATTAGAACAAATCCTCAGAGAAGGATGCCAAGCCCCACGGTGTGCACAGCCACACGAGAGTACCTGAGACTGAGCAGCTCCTGTGAGCCTCTGGTCCCTGAGAGTCCACACAGTCAGGACGACTCGGACAAACCCATGACAATGACAGAGACACATGGGGTCACATGCAAATCAAAACAGTAGCAGCAGGGTTTCCATAGTGCGGGCCTTGGTGCCATGGATCCTGGAAAGTCCTGCCATGCTCACTGAGGACAGAAGCCTGGGCACCATCTTGACATGTCCCTCAACTGGGTAGACCAGCACCCTTTCTCCTTTGATTCATAACACACATGAACCCTTTGTGGCTATAAGGAACTAGGCTGCAAGGTTCCCACATAGATAAGGACTGGAATCCTCTGGGTGTGACATTTAGGTGACCATAGAGCACCAGGACAACATACAAGTTACTGTGATCCAAAGTGACAACACACTAGAGTAGTTGTGGGAGCCCACAACTGACTCAGTTTCCCAGTTTGAATCTGAAGTCTATTCTGAGTCAATAGAGTTCAAGCTTGTTTGCTCCAAGGCTGTGAGAAAGTTCTGATTAGCCCACAGAGCCTCCTTGAAGGACTGTGAGAAAATCCTGATTAGCCCACAGGAAGGAACACACTATCTAGCTAGATGTGGGCTGCTGATGCCAGCCACAGATACATTGAGATAGAAAATGAAACTGCCTGCTCCTTGACGCAAGGCAAGATAGATAGTGGTTGAATGCCTGTGCTGTGCATTGTTCTACCTCTGTCCTTCAAGACTGTGTATAAGCTGGCTGTGAAATAAACTTGGGGCTGTCTGGCATGGACCAGCAGACCTCTCGACTCTTTTCTGTCTTCTTCATTGTCTCTTCCTTCCGCATGCCTCTACCCAGCTACCCAGCTGACTGTCAGCAGGCCCGACAAGTAGTGGTTCTCCACCTTCCTAATGCTTCAACCTTTTAACACAGCTCCTCATGTTGCAGTGACCCCCAACCATAAAATTATGCCATTGCTACTTCATGACTGCAATTCTGCTACTGTTATGAACAGTAATGTAAATATCTGATATGCAGGATGTCTGATATGCGACCCCAAAAGGGGTCACAACCCACAGGTTGAGAACCACCACAGTTGAGTTTCCATCTCAGGGCAGGGGAGGTTGCTCGGTGGGAAGAGTAGTTGCTACACAAACATGAGGACCTGAGCTCGAATCCCCAGCTGAGTGCAGGTGTGCATGCCTGTGACCCCAGCAGCGACAGGCGGGTTCCCAGGCTTACCGGCCAGCCAGTCCAGCCAAAACAGTGATATGGTGATATTTTATTTGTACTGAAATGTGATTTTATTTGTATGTTAATAAATAAAGTTGCCTGGGGATCAGAGCTAATAGAAAGCCATAGCAGAGCTCAGCATTCATGGCGCACACCTTTAATCCCAGCACTTGGTAGGCAGAGCTAGGTAGATCTCTGTGTGGTCAAGGATACAGCCAGCATTGGAGACACATGCCTTTAATTTCAATACCAACCATAGAAGACCTGGAGGTCTGTACAGACAGGCAGTGACGAGGTGGTCATGTGGTTGGGTTTACAACCAATGAGAAGGCAGAACGGAAAGTCTATATAAAGACAAACACAGAGGAAGTAGGTCTCTCTTGGCTGAAGAGGATCGCTGAAGCAGGAAGGGTAAGGCTCTTAGCTCTGACCTCTTGTGCTTTTATCTTTACATTCGCTCGGGGTTTCTTATTTAATAAGATGGTTACTTCTACATTTGGCGCCCAATGTGACAATCCATTAAAAACTGCTTGGCTTGGTGGCAGGTCCAGTTTCCTGCCTGGGTGGCCCAGCTCCCTAGCTCAGGCCCAGATCAGCTTGGTCTCAGGCCGGACTGACAAGCCCCAAGCGGTTAGCTGCAGCTGGAGCTACGTGCTTAAAGCCAGTGCTACAAACAACTCAGGACTGCCCTGCCAAACAGGGCCCCTGCCTGTAAAGCCAATGCACGTGGTTGGAGCTTAAGGAAACTGGAGCCCAGGCTTGACTCAGCTCAAGTGGGAACACGTGGCTGGATTTAAGCTTTTAGCCAGAACTTGTGGCTACGCTTTCTTGTGCTCGCTCCCCCCCCCTTTCTCTGGATTCACACCTCGGACATTATGTGGCTGTTTTGAAATTCCCTCAGATTTCTACTGTTCTACGCAGACTTAGTAAATTAATGAACATATCAGATATTTTAAAGGAAACTATTTAAAAGAAATTTTTTCCACATTTAAAAAAAAATGGGTTTTATGTGTACCTTGGAAGAAAATTGGGCTTCGTTTGAAAGTTTAGGCAGTCTGACAATGGAACAACTATATGAGAAGATTAATGTTGATCAAATTATGCAGTTTATTACTTTTCTTATCCTCATTTTACTATTTAAAAAGATAGTCAATTTAAGTGCCAGGATAACAGTTTTAAACCTGTTAAAATGAATTATAGAGAAATTCAAATTCAGACAGAAGAAATTAACAGTGAAGTTGTTTCAAGACTGGATCATAAGGTTATAGAAAGAAAGCCTGTTTTCACACAGTCACCCTTAATTTATCCAGTAACCGTACAGCAGTTGCCTAATCAAATGACTACACAAAATATTTGGGCTCCAGTTGAAATGTTATATTTACAAAGGTTTAAGGAGGCAATAGTATCTTATGGCATGCATTCCCCATATGTAAAGCAAATGTTAAACTCTTGGTCAACATATAATAGGATTATACCACAGGACTGGCAGGAGCTGGCACAGGCTGTTCTGGAACCCAGTCAAAGGCTCCAGTGGCAAATGTGGTTCAAGTATGAGGCTTAAAACATAGAAAAACAATGGAGGGATAAAGGAATACAAGTTTGCCAGGATCAGCTTATTGGAGAAGGCCAATATGCTTCAGTACAAACACAATGTTTATATGATGTTCAAACCCTAATTCTATGTCAAATTGCAGCCTTGAATGCATGGGACAGAGTTGAGGAACCAGAAAAAAAAAGTCATTTACAAAGGTTATACAAGGCCCAAAAGAATCTTTCACAGATTTTTTACAAAGATTGGCTTCAGCAGTAAAGAGAATAGTCCCGGATTCAAAAGCTAGTCAGATAATAATTGAATCTTTGGCCTTTGAGAATGTGAATGCAGCATGCCAAAGAATAATCAGGCCATTAAGGGCAATATATGCACCTTTGGAAGATTGGATTAGAGACATGGTTAATGTTGAGGCTCATGACCATGATGATATGTGGGTAGGAGAAGCAATTTCAAAAGGTTTGAGGTATGTTAGATGTTTTGGATGTGAAAATCAAGGACATTTGAAAAGGAACTGTAAACAGGTCATTCCTAGAAACAATAATTCTTCAAGGAACAATGGCAACAGAATGCCCCTTCCTTCTGGAGTATGCAGAAGGTGTGGTAAGGGAAAACACTGGACCAACAAATGTTGATCAACAAGGGACAGGCAAAGTAATCCTTTGCCTCAGTCTTCAGGAAACTCCCAGAGGGGCCTCAGGAAGGCCCCCACAGCAAATCCAGTTCAAACCTTTCCTGCAGTTGTAGAGGTAACCCCTACTCAGAGCAATTAAATAACCAAATTCCTATTGGAATAAATCATGCTGGTGGGGATGATGAAACAGAGAGAATAGAAAATTCAGGAAAAAACATAAAGAAAAATTTTTGGCAAACTTCTATTAATGAACAAAGACCAAAATTAACAATAAAAATAAATGGTGTTTTGTTGTCTGGTCTGGTAGACACAGGTGCGGACGTTATCATAATTGCACCAG